CAGCGTAATAACCTGTATACATTTCTGTGACTTGAGGCCTCTTCTGCAATCTGTTCTTTCTGTGCATTATACTATTGTAAGCATTTCTCTACATATTAGTGATGAAAATCATATTATAATTACCTTTCTTTCCTTAAATTAGCGCTTTGCTGTCATTATGGGGTCTCTTCTGAAAATGTAGTGTTTAAACTAGCAGATATTGAAGAATGCTATTTTGGACTCTTGGAAACTTACATGAGACCTTCCTCTGGCCAGTTGAACTCTGTTCTTTTTCATTCAAGCTGGCATGTTAAATGAGACTGGTTCACACATTTAAAAAGATCTGGAGAGGGTCTGGCAGCACCTTTTTCAATTAACTTTTTTTAAAAAAGCATATGCTTTCATGAACCACAGCTCCCCTTTATCAGATATGTAAAGTGGCTAGAACTTGCCCATTTTAAGATGGGTGGACTTCAACTTCCAGAATCCCTAGTCAGCATGCTGGATCAGCCAGTCCACACAACCATAGCTAAGATTATGAAACAGTGGGATAGGATATAGGATTTAAATAGGGTTGGTGGGAAAGGAGGGGATGACAGTTTGGTTATGTAGATACAGGTTACCTGTGAGGCAGATTAGCAGTATCTTATTGATTAACAATTGTTGTGTTAAAACCCTTTTGTATTTGTTAATATTTTGAGCTTGCCTGAAATCTTTTGATGTATAGGTAATACAGATAAATGACCACAATTGTGACTGGAACGTATGTTCTAAGTCATTGTAATCATAAGTCTAGTCAAACCCAATTTTATGACTATTTTTAAAGTAGGAACTAAACAAATCACACAATTGTTAAGTAAATCCAGCTTCTCCAATGGGTGTTTTTTGCCAGAAATTGGCAAAAAAATCATAAAGTACAATCACGTGACCATAGGATGCTACAATTGGTCATAAATGTGAACCGGTTACCAACCACTCAAATTACGATCACTTGACTATAGGGATGGTACAATGGTTGTAAGTGCAGGTCATAAGTCCCTTTTTCCAAGGTCATTGTAACTTTTGAACAACTGTAAAACCATCGTAAGCCGAGGATTACTGTATGTGCATTCAGCAATCACTTGCTCAATGGTGGCTTTAAAATGGGTTAGTTGAAATAGGTGCTACCAGGCTTCCTTGGGAATTTTTTGTGACTCGGGTCTTTCACAATGTTCAAGTACTGTAGAATCCAAAAGCCTTCTCTGGACTGCTCTGTGGCTTTTTACTGTTCTTTGTATCAGAGTTCTTAACCAGACTAATAAATCACCTGGTCTTAATTTTTAAAGAAGCTTGTTCAAGTTATATTATTCTTGCAAAGATTATCATATTAAGAAAAACAAATGAAACTCCTTAGAAATGGCTTTAGGCAAGTTGGTGCCGAAGCCAGAAAATCCAACATGGTGCACTCCTCCTTTCCACTACTACAGAGATTAAACAAGTTGATTATTTGCCCAATAATTTTCATGTCACCTGGTTGCGGTAAATTCTTTCACCCTATGTAATATTTAAGCCAAAAATTCCAAGGGACGATGGTGGTTCAGAAAACAGTGAAAACCGTCATTCATAAAATTACAAGACACTCTTATATTACCTTTTTGGGAAAAATAATTCTGAATCGAGCTGTGTAAAACAGAATGTTCTCAAAGTAAGCCAGGACTTTTCAGATTAGAAACAAGGCCAGTTGGAACGTTTCCAGAGTGTTTTGGAAAGTTGGAATATCTACTATTTCAAAATGGGAAGTTTCAAGCTCAGATGTGGTATCAGTTCAAAATGCACATGAGTGGTTATAAATTTGTGTAAATACAGAGACTAATGCTAGAGAAAAACTAAGGAAACTCTTTTAAGTTTTGGAAATCAAAATATTTCACTAAAAACTTATCTGTACTCTTGCTAAGGATGCCTATGGAGATTCTCAAATCATCTAAATCATGGTTGTCACAAAGGTGCTTTTCAAAAGGCAACTGGACTTCCTTGATTTTTTCTTCTTCTTTAAAACATTTCACTTCTTATCCAAGAACTAAAGAAACTTCTTGGATGAGAAGTGAAACATTTTCAAGGAAAAAAATATGGAAGTCCAGTTGCCTTTTGAAAAGTATCTTTGACATGTCTCTGGAGATTCTCAGTCATCTAGGTCATGGTTGTCCCAAAGATGCTTTTTCAGGAAGAATCTTTTGGACGTCTTGCTATGGATAATTTTTACTAGGTATTGCATAAGATACACATCTATTTCCCTAACAACAAAGAAAACTAAAAGGGCTACTAAAAATGTACTACTCCTTACCAGTTGTTATTTATGCTCTATTATTGGTGCATGTAGCCATTAGAAGTTTGCAAGCCTTATTTTAATCTTTATTATGCCCTTAGAGCCAGAAAACATAAAATATGCATAGCTTGCAAGTTAAAACTAATATTAGGGCAACTGATAGGAGGGGGAAGAATGTATTTGGTAGTAAAGAAAATTACACCATTATTATGGCATGTTTTGTTCTGAGTTAAGATGTCATGTGCACCTAACTATTTTGTTATACAATTAACAATTCTGACTCATATTACATGTGAATCCATTCAACAGTGGCTTATTCAAGAAACTGTTGTTAAACAATACATGGTTTATTGTAACATCCAACATATTTGAAATCAGGTCCTATGAAATGAATCCCATTTGGACATAAGAGGCTAATGCTCTATTCATATGAATAATTAATAAAAGATTTTTGTATGTTCAGTTTCAAATATTAAAACCAAGTCTTGATAACTCATGGAAACTCAGCTTTACTTTCTGTATCAGAAATTTAAAGATTGCTTCTGATAATAATTTGATAATACCCAATTTTTAAACTCGATAGAACCTACATCAGAATGTATCACAGTGCCTTACAGTTTCATGGAAGTTTGCTCTGATGAGACCAGGAATGAATGAAAAAGACTTTCTAAGATACATAAAAGGTGATTTGGAATATTTGTGATATCGGTTCTCAAGACAATAAGGTTGCACTCACTTAACATGCTTTATGAAGTCAGGTGAAGATCCAGCAGGTGCATTTGCATAAAGGGAGTTTGTGATACCCTTGGCTGTTTTTTAATGGTTTGGCATAACCTGCTTGGATAGCACAAGATTAAATGTACTATGCAAGCCCAAGAAATGCAATAATTCAATAACCAGGTAAAGCCTACAGCAGAGGTCTCAAACTTGGCAGCTTTAAGACTTGTGGACTTCATAGCTCCAGCATAGCTAGCTGGAGAATTCTGGGAGTTGGTCCACAAGTCTTAAAGTTGCCAAGTTTGGGGACCCCTGGCCTACAGTATTGTATTTATGTAGCTAGAATGGGTCATTGCTCTGAAAATAACAAAATAGCATTTCCTATTTTGTAATATGAGGAACAGAATACTTTCTACATACACATTCTACATAAAGGTAATCTGTGATCACCTTTCTCTTAAAAGGAGGCAGCAAACATAAAAATACCAAATTAGATATTCAGAATAGCAAAACCGTGTGTGTGTTTGATATGGGCTATGGGCGGCTTTGCATGATCTTGGGGTCCCATTCCACCCAATCAGACTCATCAGATCACTGTACACTGAATCAGGAGGCAATAGTGAGAACACTTTATGGTGACACAGATTGATTCAGAATCAGTAATGGAGTTAGGGAAGTATTTTATCACTTTTTTGTTCAATCTGTATGCTGAAATGATTATGTGGAAATTAGATCTGGAACTGCCTGATGTTGGAGTGAAGATTGGGGAAGAACCATAAATAATTTGAGGTACGCAGGTGATACAACACTATCGGCTGAAAATGAGGAAGACCTGGAAAAAATGATCTGGGAAATCAAGGATGAAAGTGAAAAGGTAGGATTGATTAATATCAGGAGGAAGGAGGAAATGTACAGAAAACAAAAATAATGATAATAGCTGCAGATGGACATGAGACGTTCAAAATCAACAAAGAGGAAATTGAATTAGTTTGAGAATTTATCTTCCTTGGATCCAAAACTGTTCACGATGTCAGTTGTACTGAAAACAAATGCAGAATAATCTTAGGCTGCACTGCAATAATTAACAAGAAATAAGATCTAGAAAAGCAGATATTTTGATATATATAGGTAGAGCAATAGTCTTCCCTATAATGATGTATGTGAGAGTTGCACACTAAGAATGGCTGAAGAATTCACGCCTTTGAACTGTAGCATTGGCATAAATTATTATGTATACCAAGGACAGCCAGGGTAACAATAAGGCATTGTATAAAATCAGACACAACACTAGAAGCTAAAATCATGACTATGTCTGATTTACCTTAGCCATGTCATGTATGCAAATTCATTGGAGAAGACAATGATGCTAGGAATGGCTAGTAGTGGAACAAGAAGGGCAAGCAACCAAACATGCTGGCTTGATAACATCAAATCTGATGCAAAGTTGAACAACTGAACGAAACTGTGTTTGACAGGATAGCATGGAAAGCATTTGCCTATAATGTCGCCAAGTCGGACATGCCTAAATGGTTCAACCAACTAACCAATGCATGTTTGCATTTGTTCCATTTCAATAACTGCCTATCCTCCAGCCAGCCAACTATCAAATCAGTTGAGACCAAGTACAACGTTGCAGGACTACTCATTCTTTCTCAGCCCAAACTACTTAGTGGGATTGTTGTTGTGGGGGAAATAGAAGGAAGAAATGGATAGTAATGTGACATCAGCTGAGAACCCATGACAGTACAACCAAGAAACACAAATCCAGGTTTTCAAGGCCTGGCAAAAGGCCAGCAGGATTGGGGCCATCTAATCTATCCAGAGAGAATGTTCCCCGAGGACAGAGACCACGGGCCTCATATACACATATATTCAGTTACATAAAGCAGCTATTTCGCTTTTTGCCTAAGTGTCCTCGTTCATGGCTATACCGTTACTGCTGCCGCCGCTACTCTCACGAGTCTGTCTATTCTTATCCGGAGACACGCCCTTCGCGTATGAATTCACGGAGTAAGGAAAATTAGAGGGGACTGGAAGAAAGTTCCCGGGCAGCTGATCCTTCGGAGCGCTGCTGGGCAGCTGCGAGCAAAAAAGAGCGGTCCCCCTTCCTAGCTCCCAGTCAGAGGGCGCCGCCGGAAAACAAAGGCGGCCTTGCCCGCCCTTCCTTCATGTTGTCGCCGCCGCCGCAATCGGCGGTCTTCTTCGAGCGGGAGCTGCCCCGGCGGGACGGCTCTGGGATCCTTCGGCTGACGCAGCGTTCGGCCGGCGGGACGGGCTCGGTGGTGTGGGACGCCGCGCTGGTGCTGGCCCGCTTCCTAGAGAAGAAGGCGGCACAAACAGAGCAGAGCGGCGGAAGCCCGGTGGGCCTTCTCCGCCACAAGGCCGCGCTCGAATTGGGCGCCGGCACCGGCCTCGTCGGCCTCGTGGCCGCCAGCCTCGGGTACGGAGCTAGGGCAGGCGGGGTGGCGGGGTAGATCCTGGGCTGCCGGCCCTTCTCTGGGCATCGCTGCCCCGTTTTAGTCTCCTTCCCTGCGTTGGCAGAGAAAAGGGCAACCCCCACGAGGTGCAAACCTTTATCTCTGGGGCTTCTGTGTGGAAAGCAGCTCTTCCAGCCCCCCGGGCTTCTGATGGAAGCAGAAAGGAGGTGATGCGCGCCTCGAGAGTCCTGATATTATCTAAAAACCTTCCTGACCAGAAATTATTACCAAGGAAGTGTTTCTTTAGCCCTTTGGGGGATGTATTTATTTATTTATCTATCCATTCATTTATAGTTCACGTTTCTGAACCATCCACCTCAATCAGAGGAACTGTTTCACAAGTCAGAGACTACATACACAAACTGCAAAAGGCCCCCCCCCCCCCCCCAATCGTGGCTACTAAATAAATCCAACCTGGGTAGGCTCATATTAAGGCAGAAATAATTGCTTACAAATCTCAATGGCTGTATTCATTCAAAAAGTTAAGCAACAAACAAGTCACCCTACACTTTAGGATGTCAAGTGAATAGTCATCATATGGACAACATTGATTATGCAAAATTCCCTCTGTATGCCTACCCCATTGAAGGAAGGGGAAAAGGGACATATTTCCCCTCTAGGACTATTATAAAGAGGTTATTGCAGTTATTTGAAAATAAGCTAGGCCATATTTCACATATATTTTCCAGCTTAACTTTATCTAGTTCATTTGCCAGGAGAACTAGCTCTGTGTTGCCTTTAATACATTTAGTTTTGTACATGATTTTCTTTGGCAGCAATTTCCTGTAGAAGATTTGCTTTGGCAATTCAAACTTCTTTAAAAAATTGACTTTTGTGGAAGGGAGCCATGTTTGTCCACTGTGGCAAGTCATCAGAAGGGATTCTAATAGCACCTTTTCAAACTAACACACCTTTTAAAAGGCAGATCATTTTATCAGATGCATACAGATCTAAATCCCATATTAGTCTAAACCCGGTGTTTCTTAACTTTGGCAACTTGAAGATGTGTGGACTTCAACTCATAGAATTCCTCAGTAAGTGTATACAAATTTGAGAAACCCTGGTCCAGCCACTCTGCATCAGATGAAGTGAGCTGAAGCTCACAAAACTTTATGCTGTTCAATGAAATCTGTTTAATCATAAAAGGCGCTGCCATTCTTCAAAGAAATTGAGTGGTGGGTTTTAATGTTTTCATGCTGTGTTCTGTCTTGTATTGCTTGAATAATAATGGGGGATCAGGAATACTAACATGTTTTCCTTCCACCTTTTTTGTAGAGCAAATGTTACTGTTACTGATCTGGAGGAAGTTCAGGATTTATTAAAAATGAACATTGAGAATAATCAACATCTTGTATCAGGTTCAATTCAAGCCAAGGTACTGAAATGGTTTGTATTAAATTTTTATTTTACTCACTTTAAGAAATTAAAAACCAATTTTGGTTAATCAGACAATTATAACAGTCTAGTTTATTTTATATATTTAATCATATTTTTAAACCATCTCCCTCACAGAGTGAAGATAACAAGATTAACAAGAAAGATGAAATATTTTTAGCCTACCTCAGCCTGTAAATAAATCTTGATAAATTATTGGAGTGAATTATATATATTTAAAGTTACAGTATGAAGTTTGAAAGGACTTTGGAAAAATTTAAATAAATGATACATCAGATTCGCATCTAACTATACTGATTTAAGAAACTGCTAAAATTCATGGTTTACATAAAATAACTAATGAATCAAATGTTATTTCTATTTTATTAGATTGATCAGATTTATATGGCTATCTGCCTCAAATAAAGCAACTCTGGGTGACTAATACAATAAAAACACTGCAGTTGGGTGGCCAATAAGTTTAAATCATTAATAACAAGAACAACATAAATAGAATAACTAAACAAAAAGAAAAATGACCTGTGGAGATAGACCAATCAGTAACAAATAGTTCTAATATTGTTTGTGTTACATCAATCAACCTTCATGGCTTTAGGCTGGGTTGGTTACTGTATTTCCCCAGTGGTGTTTTGTTAGATTTGGTAGGAAAGGCCTATTCCATGTACTATTGGCAAGAGATATCATCTGGCAGGACCCAGGAAAAGAGCCTCTTCTGCCATGGCATCCACTCTCTGCAACATCATCTCCTCAAGTGTAATTATGCCCTTAATTTGCTGGTTTTTTGCAAGACATTACAAACTTGGTTTTGCCCTTGAGCCTGAGATCACGATAGTGTGAATGAGTATTTTCTGGTTCATGGTTATATTAAATATGGGATGTTATCAGTGTTCTCAGCTGTTATCTTGTTCATCTTGTTTTTAATTCTGGTGGTTTTTATTGTTTTTAACTATTAGCCCTCCCCCAAGATGCATGTGAGATTGGCGGCCATATAAACTAGTTAAATATGTAATCCATAAGTCTTTACTCCTTTTATTTACATGTTTAGGGGGGAAGATGTGACAGATTTTCTTCCTGCACCTGATTTCATATTGATGGCAGATTGCATCTACTACGAAGAGGTAAACTGCATTCCATTAATATCAGTGGGCTAAGAGTAGAGTTGAGGGCAGGCAAAGAACCTCTAGCTTTGTACTTGGGATTAAATTTGTGACATCCTTTGAACTGATTTTGATGTTGTGAGATCATGGTAGAAATGCCACAGTAAAATGATAATCAGTGGGCTATTTTTTCTTTGTACAGTAGAGTGTACAAAGCCTATGAACATCTTTGAAACTTTAGCAAAGTGAACACTTGAGACTCTATAACACGGGTGTCAAACTTGAGTGCATCGTGATGTATTGTGACATTTTTTGCCTTTGAGGAGGTGGGATGGGCGTGGTCTGCATGTGACTCAGCCCGCAGGTCCCCAGTTTGACTGGCCTGTGAAATAAGATTTCTGAATGACCTTGAGGAGCCCACCCTGCCCAATTTTTTTAAAATTGCATTTATTATGGTTTTAAGAAAACCCTGCCTTTCTGTTAAAGGGCTATGGTCCGTGCACCCATCTTGTCTTCACATCGTTTCTGTGAGGTACATGCAGGCAGTGATAGTGAGTAGTCCAAGGTTATGCAGTGAATTTCATAACTAAATAAGATTTTGATTCCAGATCTTCCAGATCTGGTCAGATGCTTATACATTTAAAGTTGCCAAGGATCCCAGTGATGTTTAGACTACAATTCCCATAAACCTCACTCAGCATGACAATTTATTCATGATTTTGAAAGTTGGAACCTAGGCAATTGAGAGTTCTCTCCTTCTGTAATTCCTATGTCACCTTATCTCAGTCTGATAGAATCACATAATGTTCAAATATTTTGGATTGTTATTTTCATGCTTCCTTGGGTACTGCTGGTAAAGTAATTTGTGGCTTATTCAAATAACTGTGTCCATTGTGGTAGCTTGCCTTATTGCTTAAAACATATTTTTTCCTGAGAAATTCTTGGAGAGATTTCCTTCTCAGGATTCTTCAAACTCTTTAGGAATATTCAATCGCTACCACCTATTTCATTATGTGAATAAGATGGAGTGATGACTGTGGAACCAGCCCCAATAGTAAAAAAAAAATGGTGATTGTGTCCTGTTTCCTGAATTCCTGCATTACATCTTTTAGCTATTAGTATAAACTAACAATACAGTTTCATTTTGTATTAACTGACCTGAAGTTTCTTAGAACTTTTAGGAGCTATTTCCATATAGCTATAAAAATAATAGCCTTTCAGTACCTCATGGTTGTCATCCTAGTCTATATACTGATTTTTCTCTGAATTCTACTTGCACTTACTACTGCTATCTGCCTGGTAATTATCCAAAATAACTTAAAGTTTGAGAGGCCATCAAAAGAAATAATAATATTTGCAAATACAGTTACCCAGTTGCTTGTATTCAGCTTTTTGAAGTACAGATTGGAATGAGCCATATATAAACAGTAGGTGAAGGCTAAATGTCAAATATTCAACTTTCACGGTTAGTCACTGGAACCATTGATTAAGACCCTGAGGGACTTGGCTGGCTTGGATACTTTCATCCTTTGCTGTTATGAAGAAAGGACTGTGGGACAAAACCCAGAAGTAGAGAAAAAATACTTTGAGGTGAGTCACGTTAAAGTATTTCTCTGGGGAGGGGGATTTGCAAGAGTAGAAGGACAGGTTTTCAAAATCAGGATTCTAAAATACTGAGTAATGATTTCATGCTTCATATTATTTTCTAAAACAGACATAAGAAGCACTAATAATATTTTGAGAGTACTGTGTTTTTTAAGAACTTATTCTGGTATAATTTTAAATCATAGCTTCTTCAGAAGGACTTTGAGTTGCAAAAGGTTCCCTTGGATGAACATGATGAAGAATATCAGAGTGAAGACATTCATATCTTTATCATGCAAAAGAAAAAAATGGTAAGTATCAGCCTTACTGGTTCTGGAAATGAGTTAAACATTTTCTGGATATCAATCAGAATAGAGCTGGAAGTAACTTTGGAGATCTAGGCTCAAGCAGCAGACCCTATAACCAACCCATCTTCCTTCCTTCCAGGTTGATTGAATAAAAATGATTTGAGACTCTGATTTAGTTTCAGAGTTGTCTACTTCAAATCAAATCCATCTTTATTCCAGTTACATATAGCATACATTTGAAATCTCTTGCCTCTTTTCTTTTTTGACCCCCATTTCTACATATTCAATTTATATGTCACCTGACTTCCAGTGACTGAGCAGTTTAGAAATCATTAAAAATAAGAAAACACCACAAAACAAAAAAGAATAAAGATATACCGATAAAATAAAATCAGATGGGAAATAAAAAAAGAAAAAAGGGGTTTTTCAAACATGCTCATCAAAGGCCAAGGTGAAAAGCTGAGTTTTTAGGGTTCTTTGAAACACAAGTTGAGGGGGAGCCATTTGAATCTGAGGGAAACCTTACTGCCTCACAGACTACTCACTATGGATAAAATGTCCTAGTGCAGATAAAATGCTGACTAGGTGTGATAGCATCGATGCAAATTAACTCACGGCTGAGGGAAGAAAGTATGGCATGTAATTATGGAATTGTTTGGGGTTTTTTTAAACAAATTTTATTCAGTTTTTCACATTAATAACAAAAATCTCTTTTTAGTGGACAACAAATTTCCAGGTCATCACCTTTGCATACAAATATGACAGCAATTATACATTCATGTATGCATACTTAATTCTATTACCTTTTCCATTCCAAATTTTCAGTAAGGAGAGAAACAAACACATTAATTCTAGCCTCTTTCATTAATCTCAATCAAAACATCTTTTTGTTTCATTTCAATTATTTCAAGTATAATGCTTTAATATTTATTTTAAAAATAAAATAATATGTTTGCATAATAAAATAATAATAATAATAATAATAATAATAATAATAATAATAAAGTTGCCAATGTCTCTCCTTGCTTTTAATAGTCTATATTGACTTATTAATTTAGTTGGTTCTTTAGTCTGTCATATTCCCTTTCCATTACACATTCTTTTTATAAATTCTAAATACAAGTTTTAACACTAAAGAAAAAAACAAGTATAGGTTTCCCCCCTTTTACTGCTTTGAGTGTGACACCTCAGTGGTTAAAATATACCTTTATTCCCTCATCTTGATTCCCAATAAACCATTATTTTTAAGAAGTTACAATAATAATCTTTACATCTTTTCATTTGGATTCCGCAGCATATTTCCCACCCTTGATTTTTAATAAGAGTTATCAGTATCTATATTACCCTATTTTCTAAATATTTTTAATTGCAGAAATATTCTTATTACCCCTTGTCACCCTGCAGAATCCCCTTTTTAATTCATCAACCATTATCTCTGAAAAAACAATTTCTTTTCAACATTTTACTATTTCCGTATTTCTTTATTTCATGCACCTGTTTCTTACTGCTTCTCCTCCCCCTCTTTTCCCCATATCTTTTCTCATTCCAGTTTATATCCCTCTCTTTCTTAATATCTTCCTTTCCCCTTTTCTGCTGGGTCTTTCTGCCTTTCCTGACTTCACAGGTATTCCCCCTTTTGATTGCCTTCTTAAATTTCAAGTTTTTAACCTTCCTTCTTTCCCCACTTCTTTGTAGCAATGTCTTCTCCTTGAATCGACTCCTCCTCCTTTGAAGCTCTCTCTTCTTGTTCTTCAATCGCCATTTCTATTTTTTCTAACACAGCAAAGTGATTCGCCTCTTTCCTGTAGTAATTCTCTCATATTTTTAAGTTCCATTTTTAATTCCCGAAGAGATATCATCATTACACACTCTTATATTTTATGGTCGTTAAAGTCCACAAAAAAAAACACTTTTACTTTCCTTCTTTCTTCTTTCAGTTTTCTAAAGTTCTCAGTTATTCCAGCCGAGGGTCTATACCAAAAACATCAATCAATCCCACAGTCAGTCTTTCCTTGCTTTTTTCTTTATTCTGGTTCTGCTTTCACTTTCTAAGATTCTTAATTTGTTTCAATCTTTCTTTACTGTTATATCCACACAAGTTCATTCAGAAACAGGATGCTTTCCCTTGTTTGAGCTCAAGTTTTTGTCAAAAGGTGGCACTCTCCATTATACAAAGTCTTCACCTTTTCCCACTATTTTTTTATTTAGGGTTTTTCGAACCTCAATATTCCAGCACAGTCCAGTCTCCAATTTGTAAACTTTATTATTATTATTTTTTGACAATCTTAAGTCCAGCTTTATTTTATGCCTGTTTATTCCCAAAATATTTTAGTCCATTCTAGTTAAATCTTTAGTGGAATTGTTTTTGATTGTTAGATTCAGTCAAATTGTTCACTATGTTTTTCAGAATATTTCATCATGAAATCCTTGATGCTGTTTTCTGACCTCTGATTTACAGAAGAAATCTTTAGAAAATTGGAAATTAAAGAATTTTTAATAAATTTTCTGCAGAACATCTCTGCAGCCAGAAGGGAATCAGCATATTGTTTTATACTAAAGTGATTTCAGAAAAAAAATCAATTCTCTTGAAAAAGAACTACAAGCGGTAGAAGAAGAAAAAAGAAAAAAGGAAGGAAGAAAAAAAGGAAAGGAAGGAAGGAAGAAAGAGATAAAGAAAAAGAAAGAAAAGAAAAGAAAGAAAGAAAGAAAGAAAGAAGAAAGAAAGAAAGAAAGAAAGAAAGAAAGAAAGAAAGAAAGAAAGAAAGAAAGAAAGAAAGA